CAGAGAAACTTTTTCGTTATTAGATACTCAAGTGATCTGAAAGCATATGTTATCTGTGACTATTTCACACAAAGTTTCTTTGATTATTTGTGAGTCAATTTGAATTATACTTAAATTGATATAATTAATTTTGGGATAATTATGGCTGGGAAAAGTAACTATTTAAAAATTTAATTGAAGCAAAAATATAACTCTTTTGTTGTTATTGTTTGATGTTTCTTGAAGAGATAACACATAAAAAGAAAAACTCACCTTTTAGAAAAGAATGAATATTTGGCTGATCGGCCTATCATAATATTCCTTGAATGTGATATATAGGAGGCCGTAGAAAATTTCAAAACCCTTCAGGGATATATAGGCACTTCTACAAGTATGTTATCTATACGTGCAATAATATTGTACTAAACCATTAAAATATTGATCGCTGCTAGAAAAATATGTCTATTGGTATAAACTAAGTATATTTAATGTTGGAAGTTTTGAGGTACACATGTCAACTTTGAAATCAGATAACTTGAATACTAGGCCACATATAGTATAGTGAAAAAATTTATTCAAAATAGCTATCTTCACTTAAATCCGTTGTTGTTAAAATCACATAAATTAGCATTCCGCCCATTCAATCCATTTATTTTTGATCCGTCTAGTATATTTAACGGTTATATTTCCCAATATCGTTTTAATTCTGCATTCTCTGTTACTAGGGAGGTTTTGTTAAAGATCGATGTATGTATGGACTGCACTGATCCACATTCTTTAACATCATCATGTCTAGTGGTGAAATAAACAGTAACAAGTGAAGTATATTATTTTGTGTACAGTGCAATCCATTATAATATTAGAATATTCTTTCTAGATTACAAAAACTTCCAGATCAAAAGGTAGGGGCTGTCTTGTATAAAGAAACATCACCTGTTGTAATACACAGAATATTTAGATTTTACATATCTAAATACTTTGGTTTTTCCAATAAAAAAAAGAATATCTTGAATGACTTTGACACGCATCGATGTGTGGGTGGTCACTTCAGTCAGAAAATAGTAACCATATTTTAGATTTGAAATTATAATTGGATTGTTAAGCGATTTACATATTTCGACACATATTTAAAGAAGCGAAAAAATATAATAAAGCGTGCAAAAGTGTGGGTTTAACGAGCTTAATAATATTTATATTTATTTCTATTTTTATTTTATTTTTATATTTTTTTCCTATTACTCGTACAAACATAATTAATACTTAATTTAGTTATTGACTAAGGAATGTTGATAAAATAATTAAAACATATTTAATTAAAACGAGTGAAAAGATAAGCGGAAGGAAGTTAATAAGTTAAACCGTGCTAAATTATATAATTAAAAATTAAAATACAATTTAACACTTAGTTTATTTTAAATATTTCACGCTCAATTAAATTTTCTTGTGTTTAAAATTTTTATTTACTATTTTTTATTTTTATTAACAAGGCAAAGTAATTCATATTTCTTGTTTGGCACATAAAATATACAAAATTGGTACATTTAAAGATAATAAATTATGCCAAATATTGTTAACTTCTAACCACAATAAATAATTAACATGCGATATAATTACTTTGAGATACATTATTTAAAAGTTTGTTTATTTTTGCAAATTATATTATTTCCTCTCAACAATTTTTTTTATTGAGTTATTAAATTCGTTTCGGTTTTTAGGTTTATTATATTGTATATATCTTAATTGAAAATAAATTAAAAATCTGTGTTTACGGAGCAAAAATAAAAAATTTTTGGTTTTTGCTATAAAGGAAGTACATTGACATACAGAGCCTATGGAATTTTTGTTATATTGTAAGCATATCGTAACAGATCTTTTAAGCATATCTTTAGGCATTTCGTAGTATTATTCTCTTTTTAGCATAGGAATTTAAGTACACACTATCAGTGATATTCTATCTCTAACTTTTCAAGCTCTTCAAAAACCTGACCCAGATGTAAATAAGTGAAACAATAGATCCCTCAAATGACGAAAAAGGACCCAAGTAGTTTCGTGGTCTACTTCGACTAATCCTTCAACTCAGTGGGGCCACTTGTTGGACAGTGCGCTGTCCCAACGTCCCACCATATATATATATAGTTCCCTCAAATAAAAGAGCAATTAGAGAATAAATCCTAGCAGTAATTCCCTATTTATATATAAAAGTTTAGTATACCATAGTCTCTCATAGAGGGAGAGACTTTTATGTACATTTCCTCATATGTAAATAAAATAAAATAAATAAAAGATCAATTAGAGAATAAATCCTAGCAGTGGTTCTTTTTTTGTATATAAAACTTTAGTATAGTCTCTCATAGGTTGAAAGACTTTTATGCACATTTTCTCATATCTAAAAAGGAAAAAAATATAAGCCGATAAGCACTAATTAATAAGTAATTAAAAAATTATTAGGAATATTGATTGCTAACATTATTATCGGAGAGAACATATTTTATTAAGGATCTATGTAAATAGTGAAATTTTTTAACAACTAATAAAATGAAATTAAGATATGCAGTAGAACTTCATATTAAAACTCCAGAAAAAGTCTTGTGATTATATATAATACTTGTTTTTTTTAACAACAGAAACTGAAAAAAAATTAACAATGATCCATTAATCATTGTATTAAGCCTTACATATGTTATAATCCACATTCCCATGTTAAATGATAAAGTGTATAACCAAACAAAGCACATAGGAAAATAATATATATGGGACTAGACTATCGATCAGACACGTACATAACAAAAGATTCAGATTAGTGACTTAAAAGACCGAATTAAAAGATAGATAACATATATTTTACATTTTCTAGTGTGGCTCATATACAACGGGTGTCTAAATTACCGGGGATTTATACTATCACATTCACACGATATATAATCAAGTGAACAATGAAACAGGTAGGGTTAAAAGGATCACTAAATTATATATTATATAGACAGGTCAAACCGTGAAGAATTGATTTCTGATATAAAGGATTGAATTTCAAGGTATTTTTCGACAAGATTAGATATGAAAAAAATATTGTACAGGTAAAATTTTTTGACAAAAAAAAACCTTTATAAGAGAAATTTCAAAAACAAATGTATCATTTTAGTTTCAAGCACTAAATAAGCAAGTCTGTAGATACTTCACAGCTTTTTTTTAAATTATTTAAATAAATTAAACATCTTTCATTAAAAATGAGTTCTGAAGACTTATAAATGGCAAAGAAGAACAACCTTGGAGTCCAGCTCCGTGAATATATGCAGAAAGCAATAAATTATGATGTAGAAAATAAAAGAAAGCAAATCCTGGAAGCTAAAAATAATATCAATGGTCCGATTAATGAGGTACCTAGGAGTCAAGTTGGCGAAGCCTTGAAAGCTAAAAATGTGGACACTCGACAGAATAATGATGTGCCTAGGAGTGATATTAGCAAAGACATGGAAACTGATGATAAATTAACTGAAGAGTGGATTGATGAAAAGTCTGAACGCTTAGTTAAGGAGATAGAAATAAAATTGAAAAGATATAAAACTATATATATATATATATACATATATAGGCAATATGTGGAAGCAAACAATTTTAATAGTCTTCAGACTATGAAAAGAAAAAGAAATGAAGCCTTGAAATCAGAAGATGTGGGCACCTAATAGGATAATGATATGCATAGGACAGATATTAGCAAAAATATAGAAACTGGTGCTGAATTAACTATTGAAGACGCTATTGCTGTTGAATATATTGAATATATATATACAGAGATGCTAAAACGAAGAAACTCTCGACGAAGCTGTGATAAGCTGACTTATCAATTGATTTATAATTTAATAAATAACTAATAACAGAAAAGTTGAAAATTTGTAGTAATTCATTGAAATCATTTAAATGTAAATATTGAAAATCTGTTTTAATAGTAAATATAATCTATATTTCTTAAAACATGAAAGTTGTTATTTATTCCTTCAACGTGGGTTCGTCACAATAATCTATCTATAAACTAATAATAAAAATCTATCTATCAAATCGACACAATATTATAGCTATTCAAGTTAGGCTTGTGTTTTCTGATAAAACTTCTATGGAGCACGAATATTTGCTCCGTGTTTACAGATTTGTGGAAATATAATGACTATGAGTTCGGATAACACCAGATTTGTATATTTGAATCAGTAAACACATTTTGTATATAACATAAAACAAAATACCACTTAACTTACTTGGCCTTTTTTTTCAGTTAAAAAGCAAGGATTTTAGGGTTTATAAAGAATGTTTTCAATACAAAGGCTATTATTAGAAAGAGACGTGATTTAAATTAGATTAGGTTATACCAGCGATCGTTAGACGCTGAGGTGAAGAAACTCAGAGTTTAAAACCATCTAGAATCTTTGGCGAATGCCAAAGACCTCCGAATGGGAGGTCTTGTAATTTATCAATATGTTAGGGGAAAAGAACCCCTAACATATTAGGCCGCTGCCGTGTATAAGCCAGAGTAGATGAGAGGCATTTCATCGTCTTCCCTAAAGCTGCGACAGATATGATTGAAGGAGGAAACCAAGTTTAACTATATAACTATTGTAATTTATGTCATTGTTTTAATTAGATACTCCTACAAGGATTAGATTATTGATAAATATGACAAATCCGCAATATATCATGACAAAAGTAGTAAGCAATTCGTATTACGGATAAAACGTATAAGGATACTTCTTATGAGTTCTTAATAGTCACGGTCGTCTGTCAATTTTATCTATAAACAGATAAATAAAAATAAAATAATACTCGTTTTCATTTTTATTAAGAAAAATACTATTTATTTCAATTTAAAAACAATTTAATTTAACAACAAATCATAAATAACCAATTCGTAAATCTCGTAACCAATTCATAACTAACTTAAACGTAAATTAAAAGAAGAAGGGTTTGGCTGGAGCATCATAGTGATAGCCACCGCTTACGACTTCTTCTTGGACAGGTTCTGCTGGTGGTATATAGTTTACTTCAGGTTCCAAAATTTCAGCATAAGACGGCACTGGAATTGTGAAAGTAGGCTTTACAACTACTGGAGGTAAATAAGTTTGTGTAGGCGCTGGTGGTGGTGGTGGTGGAGGTCTTGTTGTTTTGGGTGGTAAGTAAGTAGGAACTGGTGGTGGTGGGGGAGGAATGTATTTTGGTGTTGGTGGTGGTGGAGGTAAGTAAGTTGGTTGTGGTTTTGGTGGTGGTGGTGGTGGGGGAGGAATATATTTTGGTGTTGGTGGTGGAGGTGGTATATATTTAGGTGTTGGTGGTGGTGGGGGTAAATAAGTTGGTTCTGGTTTCGGTGGTGGTGGTGGAGGAGGAGGAATGTATTTTGGTGTTGGTGGTGGTGGAGGTAAATAAGTTGGTTGTGGTTTTGGTGGTGGCGGTGGTGGTGGAGGCGGCAAATATGTTGGTTTCGGCAATTCGAAAGGTATGTTAGGTGGTTCGTAGTTGTAGCCTGGATGTTCGTGATGTTCATGGTGTTCGTGATGTTCGTGATGATGGTGGTCATCGTCATGATGTTCATGATGATGGTGGTGGTCGTGTTCATGTCCAAAAAGATGTGACACATCTGCTGCAACAAGTGCTATCGAGCACAACATCAGTATTAGTAATTTCTGTAAATATATATTTTAAGAAATCATTAAAGTGATTAATCAAATATGTGGATTTGTTATTATATTTTTTAATTTTCATACATTTTACTGTGTAGTTAATTATTAACAATTAATATATTGAAAATTTGTTCTGCAATATCTTTGAAAAGAAATAATGTATATGAAACTTAATATAAACAATAAACTAATTGAAATTATGTTATGATCCCAATGACATTAATTTTTTTATGTTTTGAGAAATACGATTAATAATTTTAAATTTAAACAGACAAACCAATGTTTGTTCATCGTTGATGTTGTCATATGTGCGAGTTATATATTTAACACATTTTTTAATATATTATACGGTGATTTTAAACTAATATAGATTCATGTTACCTTTGTATTTTAATTTAATATAAATAATTTTATGTACCATTTTTTGGCTACAGAATATACCTTGTTTTAATGAGAATATTTTAAAATGATTAATATAATGTATTTTGATATATATTAATTAAATTAAAATGAGTGTTATACATAAAAGTAATTAAATAAACTTTAAATACAATAACTGCATTGCATGTTTCAACTTATATAGACAATATTATTTAAGTTATTTAAAAAATGAAAAAAATATTTTGATCCAAAATTATATATAAAAAATTTAGAATAAAAAAAACAATATTGAAATTATTATTTCAATATTGTTTCTATTATATTACCTTTAAATACATTTTAGTATATATTATTTAAATTTAATAGAAATAATTCTTCTAATTGATTATTATATAATATAATAGTTATTAATTAAAAAAAATTATTTCAATTTAAAAAAATAATTAAAATAAAATTAATTTAAATGAAATACGACAATAAATATTTTTTGACCAAATTAAAATAATACTTAAAAGGGCAATTTTACAGAAATCATATATATTTTTTAATTTATTTTATGTATTTTTTTTATTTTCACTATTTTGAAAACCAATTTTCAATTAATATTTTGTTTAAATATTTCATTATGCTAATACTAGTTAAATAATTTATTTCTATTAAGCTTTTTTTTTATTTCTTTTTTAATAATGTTCTATAAAAAATTTGGTATTTATTTTATTAAATTAATATGAAACACATATATTAAAAAAGATTTATTTTAAAATAGTTTTAAAGTTAATGAAAATAATAATATATAATATAATATATAAAAATTTATTAAAATAAAATAAGATTTAATAATTATTTCATAAAATTTTACAATAAAGTTTTAAATTTTATTGAAATTATTATTTAGCCTGATATTAAAATAATCATGAGTTGAATTATATTATAAGCAAATAAAATTTCTTAAAATTAAGAAAAATTCAACATATGTAGTAAATATTGTATATTAATTAAATAAAATAAAAATAATTGTTTTAGAAAAATAGTGTAAATATATATTACACATTATATAATAATTAATACAAATTAACTTAAATAAAATGAGAAAATTTTTTTTGACTTTTAGAACAATATTTAGTTACTCAAATTTATTCAACTCAAAGAAACACACATATACATAAATAAATGAAATATATCAAATAGATTAATTAAATGAACTAAAAGTGATTGTTTTTAAAAGAATGGTTGAAGTTAATTTTAATACACATTAAAATATAATTAAAAAATTTTTCTAATTGCCTAATTTTTTAAAATTTCTTCAAAGAAATAAATAAAAAAAAATATACTGAAATAAATTTTAAAACTAATTAAAAAAATTGTCATAAAATATTGAATTGATAGGTAACCAGTTAAATATTTTGAAATAAATTAATTAAAGCACTAAAATATTGAGTCTAAAAACAAACTAATTGTTTTCAAATCAGTTCAGAAAATAATCACTTGCAATAATTTTGAATAATTTATTCTTTAATTTTAATTCTGATTTTGGATTATTCACTTATAACAAGGAAATACAATTTAGAATTATGCAAAATATTAAATAACCAGTTTGTTTGGATATCATTTGAATATTTTTAGAATTATTAACTTTTTAATGCATTTGCAATTGGCGATTCTTTGAAATCCAGTCTTTTTATTTTTCTAATAACAATCTATCTTTTTGTTTATATTCTTTATATTATACTAATGCAGTCATTAAAAAGTAATCAGTAACGATAATTTAAAACATTTTAACACTAGTGTTCTTCACTTCCTTTGAAATACAACTTTCACTTTCATTACCATTTTCGGTTCTTCTTCGTTAACAGAAGTAACTTAAAATTGAGATTGATATGACCGAAGAAGTATCTTTAAAAATTGCTTTGATGTGCTTTAGATTTAATTAAGTAACCACACCGACGTCTTACACGAAATGATACAATTTGTTGATCGGTTCTTGTTATTTATAGTCAACTTCTTAAACCCCAAGTAACCAGACCCAATACCGGCATTTCTAGTCTCAATGTTGTTTGTATTGTTCGTTGTTTTATGTTTTTTTTGTTTTTTTTTCTGATCTTCATTGCTCGTTGTTTTTGTTTAAGCTCAGCTGTTGTTATCATATGTATATGCGTAGCCATTGGTGCTGCTGCCAATTCTTCTACTGCTGCGTCTTCTACATTTATGGTTTTGGAGTCAAGCTTGGCTGTAATCTATGCTCTACAACTACTGCTGCTACTGTTGTTGTTGTCGTTTTTGTTGTTTTTGTTTTTGTTATAGTTATAATACAATTAAAATGTAAATTATTTCATTTGTTTTGTTTGATATGCTTAAGCCGCTGTCATTGCACCGCATTAACTGCCCAGACAGTTGAAGGCGTTTCAACTGTGCAACTCGTTGTACTCACTCGTCAACAATCCGTTTTTTATGGTTAAGTTCAGGTATCCAACTGAGTGGCCCAGAGTATATACTCTGGTGCTGTATAAGTGCACCCCTTTCCATATCCGTTGCTAAAGTACGCCATAATTTCGGACGTTATTAAAAAATTTATTCATAAATCATTTAACGCATATTTTCGTTAAAGTTTTTATTTTGACAGATTTTGGAGCAAAAATATAAATATTTTTATTTTTTTATGACTTTTGGTTTTTTAAACAATTTAACACTTTTTGGTTATTAGTTTTGTTGTTTTAGATTCTATTGTTGTTATTCTATTATTGTTTTACTGGTGAGGTGTAATTAATGAAGTGTTTTCTAAAGTTACCCACTAAGCCGTTGGTTTTCGCACTTGTGTTAATTTAATTAATAACCAACTTCCGAAATGACATTTATTAAACGCAGGAATTTCATTTCAAGAGGTTTTAAAATGGTTCAAAAGTTTTATGTATAAATAAATATGGTATTTTAAGAGCTTTGAAAATGAGTTTCCTGAGAGAATTTTAGTGCTCCAAGCAACTTTGTTAATTGTAGCTATTTATATGTATTAATTTTAATATTTTTGTATATCAGTTAAATCCAAACATGCTGATAATATGACGTGTTATCTGCAACGTCAAGGTAATAATTTTTTTGTTATGAATCATTTAACTGCTTATACTCGTATACTTATGGGTCAACTCAAGGACGCTTCAGCAGTGATTGAACCTTTGCATAATTAAGAGCAATTTTTCAACAAAAAAGTATGAAAAATATTCTTAAACTATTTTGATTATTTTGAAAATATGATAAATTGATTTTTAAGTATATTTCTAAATATATAAAGATTTGTTATATTTTCAGTTTAAGAAACTCTTCTTCTTTCAGTAAGAAACTGAAAGTCTTATTTTATATTTTATGCTAATCACAGTACTCTGAAACTGTTCAATATAATTGACAGTCACAATAATCCAACTCTCAGCATCCTAAAAGTACAACGAAATTTGATAAACACAGGCAGATACAAAGACATCAGATCCATCATATTATAAAGCCCCGTATTCAGTTATTCTTAGTGTGACTTAAAACTGTCCACAGATAAAATAGAGTAAAGGTGCTGATTCACTAACTCAGACATCTGAATATCAGTATCAGTACTCAATTTTAAGTTAACTTAACGAAAGTAGTCAAGTTTAAGGTACTTTAACGAAAGTGGTAAATTTTATGTTAACGAAAGTGCTAAATATTATGTTAACTTAATGAAAGTGCTAAATCTTAAGATAACTTAACGAATGTAGTTATTTTAAGTTAATTTAATGAAAATACTAAATTTTACGAAAGTGCTAAATTTATTAAAACAAAAATAGAATATATTGGTTTCTTCTTATAAACTACTTATTCTTCTTATAAATTATCAGTAATTGTAAAAATATGTAGGTATGTCAATAAAATAATAATTATAAGTATTTATTTCAAGGCATAAAACAAAATTGTGAATAATTTATTCAATAAATTTTTATTCTTTATATATTTTGTGACCAAAAGATATCTACAGACTTCAAAACAAAAATCTAAAAAATAAGCAATTTTTAACAATAATCTACACTGCATATGTACTACATATTTGCATAATGATCTAACTAAACCATTTAGTATAAAGTTAATTAAGGAAGGTATGTGTCAGAATATAAATGCTAAGTAATTGATCAGAAAAAATTGATTGGACGAAATCAGAAACGTCTGCATATGCAATGCTTTAAAAATTGTAACTATCATTAAGAATGTACAGAAGATAGACTATATATGGTAGTATGGTCACATAATAATATAAGGGAAATTCTATAAGAGAAAATATACTCAATATATTAGGAAGCGGTAAAAATAAGATTTTGTAAGACACAAATAATCAACGGCCGGTAAATGTTACAGTACAGGACAGAAGATTCTAATACCTTAGGACTAGTAGAGTCCATGTGAAAATAAAGCATGAAGAGAATGCAACAAAGAATAACACAACACTATATTATTACACATTATAACACATTATTAGAAAGAAAAAAATTTAATATTAGATGTCTTTCTCAGCATTACGTTCCTAGATCAGGTTAAAATAAAAAATAAAAATATAATTAATTAATTCAATTATTCTACAGCTGGTTTATGATTTCGTTCTAATATAAACCCAGCAAGTAAATTTGTTAATAAAACTTTCACAGCAAAGTAACAAAACTCCAGAAAAATTAGCGAACATAAAAGTCAAGTACGGCTTTGGATCAGTTGGTTAAGGTGCACCGACTCTGAGCTTTAAATTTGGCAGGACACAAGTTCGATCCCTGGTACTTGCAGTCTCAAAAATAATTATTTACGAATATGAATTATTTCCAAGACCACTGATGATGGGGATTTGCCAATACTCGAAATAGCTGTATGGTCAACCTAAAATTGAATTAATTAAAATAATATATAAAATGAATTTTTGTTGTTGTAGTTCACTACTGTTCGAAAAACTTCTTTATGAGATATACTGAGTTTTTATAATAGTCACTTCTGTCTGAAAAATTTGACGTTAAATTACAACTAATATTAGAAATAATTATCATCAGAAAGAAGGAATTCAAAATTCTTTTAAGCTATACTGTATGCATTATTTGACTTGTATAGATCCCAAAGATTACTAATATGATGTAGCAATATCTGCAGAATACGACCTTTGTGGTAAAAATTTCATTGAAGACATTGAAGTTAATAATTTTAGCGTCAATTGAAGATTAACTATGTATTGTAATTATTTTAAGTTATATATGAAATTTAGTAATACTTTTTCAATAATAAATATAATAAGCAGAGCTATAAAATATTTAATAAATACATATATTTGAAATAGAAAATTAATAAAAGTATATAATTTAATAGTTTTGTAGTGTTAATTGAAGTGTTTGACACCTTTGATACGCATCAATGTTTTTACAAAATACGCAGCATGTAACACATTTCGTTTTGATTCCGGAAATAATCAACGATGCGTTGATCTACTTGCAAGACAATAGAAGTTAATCCACAAACCGGTCAATTCGATTGTTTTGAACTCCTCAAATATTTATTCGATTTATATGTAAAATATGACAAAAATTTTATTAATAAAAATTTTCTATTGTTGATTTTTGAATCAAATAAATAATGATAAAAGTCTTTGATTTAAGACTAATTTGAGTTAGGAAGTAAATTCTAACAATAGCGCACAGATGTACAAAGAGAATTAGTAGCAGATCATTGTTCGGATAGAATAAAATTTTAATAAATTCGAGTTTATGTAGGAAAGGCTATATAATTCTTATTCGTTTTAAATAAAAGTTATTTCATCAAATATGTCAGTTGCATAAAAATATTGAAATTTATCGCATAAATAAATACCAACAAATTATTTATTATGGTTCATTTTAGTGTTGCGTTGTTTTTATTATATAAGTGTAAATTGATATATTTTGTTGAAAACTGGTAAGTTACAAAGCAAAAATGATCGAGATGAGAATATACTAAAAGACTTGAATTAAATGACATCGGCTAGATACTTTATATCTCTTTTATATTTTATAGAATTATATGATTCTAATTGAGTTTCAAAAAGTTTTTAAATATTAGAGTTTTCTTTCATTTCTAGATGGGTAGAAATATCATTTCATACTTTTCCCTTCTGATTATCCCAAGCTCATAAAAGATATTGTGATTTGAATTTTAAATATTTTAACTTAGGACTATGTATATGCCGGTTAAAGATTCTTTCATTGTTACTTTTCAGTATAAAATAACTAGCAAAATCTATAAGAGCTTCAGAAAAAAGAAAATGGGTCTCATGAGATCTTTTTTTCGTCACTGGATATGCGATAATTAGGACTGCGTAGATGTCGTTAAACATCCCTTTATTGTTAATTTTTCATATGATATATCTACCAAAACCGTTGTTCTAGAAGAATCTGTTCTTTAGGAACAGCTTCAGAAAAAATAGAAAGGATTTCATAATATTTTCGTAATCACTGGATATGACGGTAATTAGAAAATTACCCAGGATATATTTAATCAAATAACGGAGGACTATTCTTTTTGAATAAATAGATAAATAATATTAAATCTTATGACGTATATATATGTGAGTGTAATTAGGCACTAATGTAATGTACCCTATTACATAAAATTGATCTTTTTGTCTTCATTTCACTATTCTATTACACTTCATTATTGTTGTACATTAATTTATATGTTTTGCCTTTGAAATAAAAGGTTAATTTAGATAGGTTAGGTTATTAAATTAAAGTAATATCTTTATGATAATGGGCACAAATAAAACTCAGAGATTTTCAATCCATTTGGAAAATAGTGAATATAAACATTGACTCAAATACTCTTGAAAGCATATTTTTAGCCTCCTTAATGTGCACTGTGTATGTGATTGAGTGCAACAAAGTATATATGAAATACTTACTTCATCTTTCTCACAACAATTTTATACTCTA